CTGGTGTACTTAATTAATCTGCCATGATCCCCTGCCCCCCTCCTGTATTTTATAACTATGTTTTGAGTCTACAACAAATCCATTATCTTACATGTTTGTCCATAGTATAATCATTCCTCACCCTTGTGTTCCCTACGGATCAATATGTATTTTATCCGGCTTCTTCCACTTGCTTCGAGGGTGTTTCGTGGTGGTTCTTCGTTGGGTAATCTTGGAACTGCTTGACTGGGGTCGTTTTTCTCGCATGATGTTTTGACGCAACATGCCGTGACACAGTTGCGGAGGTTTGACTCGGAAAGTAAAACACACACATTGGGTTTGTCCCATAGTTGCCGCCGAAGGGGTCTGACTCCCTTTCGACATGTTGTTGTCCCGATCATGCTTTGTCGACTTCCCTCCGGAGCAATTAGTTCCCCCACTGGTTACCTATCAATCAACCTCTCACCATCTTTGGAGTGGTTTGGACCTGGTTGAATACATATTCTCCTTTGGGCATGTGGGTGTTGGTTTGTTCTTACTATGGTGTCTTGTGTGCCTGTTACAGGTGCCTTCGTTTTCCAACAACGGATGGTACTCGGATCTGCTCGGTGAAGGCATGGCTTGGCTTGATTCGTTCTGTGCTCCTTCCAGCCCGCCTCAGATGCTGATTTCTTTAGTTCCGAGTAGGATCCTGGAGTTTGTGAAAGTCCATTCAGTGGGGATTTCCCCCCCTTCCCCTCCCCTCATCACTGTACTTACGTTCAATGATTGGGCGGACCTGTTGTGGACTGCTGCTCACGATAAACAAGCCTTTCCGGCGCTTTCTAAGCGCTTAGTCACTCAGGCCTATGACCAAAAGCAAGAGGATGATCTTGTAGATCTCTGCACTCAGGATGATCTCGCCATGAAGGAAAAGGTTCTGGTTGATCTCTGGCACGCCGATTCGAATTTCCACTCGAACTTAGTTTGTAGGGATCCCACGATTGAACCAGGTACGGGTGAGTCTGATGAGGAGGAGGATGAGGATGATTCCCTCCCCTTTACGGATGCAGAGAAGGAATTCCATAGGAAGATTGTATCAGAGAGCCGGTCGCAGAGGGCAAAGGCGGTCGCATCCAACCATAGGGTGAAGGTGAATAAATACACCCGGAATGCGTTTCTCCCCATTGTCTCACCGAGATGGGTTGAGGCTCGCTCGAGGGGGGTGGAACATAGATTGTGGGATCTTGACACCTTCAATTACCTGACACCGACCGCTTCTTAGCATCCCTTTGTGAGGATGAGATAAAGACGTGTAATCAGAAAGCACTCACTGAAGACACGGAACTTTTTAAAGGGGATTACCCCCTGACCTCAGACACTATGAACCTTCCGGTTCTGGGCGATTTTGACCCAACTAAGTGCACTATCACGCCGTCAACCCTCGCTATTAGAGGATTTTTGGGTCCTAGGGTGCAGTCGGCCATGGCTGAACTCAAACGTATTTGGAATGTTGCTCATCCCTATCTCAAATGTCAATGTGTGCAGATGAACAAGGGGGATTGCGGGAAGAATATTTCGTGGTTTGACCACGTGCTTTGGTATCTTATCTCAGACCTGCAGTACCTCTACCCCCAAGCCCCGACCCTGAGGGCTCGAGCAAGGGCTTTCAGGAACCGTGCCAAGACGTTGTGGCGTGCCCCATTCTCGCTTCGGTTGTCTTCTCCCACATGAGGGAGATCATCGTTAGTATGGCCTTCAGTGTCATTCTTGACCCCACTAGGAGGCCGGAGAACATCCTCGGTGACCCGGCCATCATGTTGCACAAGTTCCCGAAGACCATGGCCAAGCTCATTCTTCCCACCCGGTAAATCCAGTTCCCGAATGATAGGAAGAGGAAGGAGCAATTGGCAGCCGCTCCGTCGACGAAGAAGGCGAGAAAGGGGCAGCAAACCACTTTGACGTTCTACATTGCGGCTGCGGTTCAGGACCTGCTCACCACATCTTCGGGTGCCTGCGCCGAGAGCACCCCTTCGAGTTCGGTCATCACTACTCTGAGCGACGCTCAGACATCAGCTTCCAGCAAGACACTGAGAAGGAGCCCGAGGATGAGGGACTTAGCGAGGGCGAACCTATTTGCAGACTGAGCTGTCTTGTTTGTTTCGTGATTGCAGGAGCTTGAGGGTGTCATGACTCGTGACCCCGCCGGGAGAGTGAAGTGGAGCAAGACCCAATCATCAGACAAGTCTTTCTTCGTGCATATCTGCTACATGAGTCGGGTCATGGAGAACGTCCGTTTCCGGGCTATCCTTGAAAGAGCTGTTGAGATGTTTTTTCCAGTCGATGCTAGGGCTCTCCTAGCGGCTGTAGTTATTGGGTGGACGTATTTGAACACTTTGGAATCAGTCGTGTATAAACCTTCTGCTGTTTTTTGCAGTTTTGTGTTGGATCAGTGGTTGGAATCTTGTTCTATGGTGGAGAGATGTTTTTGTTGTTCAAACAGGTTCTCATCCTATCATCACCTTTGCACTTTGGGCATGTCCCAGCCCTTTGCGACCCCCTCCACCCACGTCCTCTCCCTCGACCCCTCGATCGCAATTCTCCCAAAACTGAAAGATTTGCTTGCGCAGGGTTTGAACCATATCCCTCTGAAGCCACGTATCCCGAGTGTCGCCTTACGGGAATTCCAAAAAGCATGGAGCGATGTTGTGAAATTTCTCTCTGGTCGCACGTTTGTCTCCCCAGGTATGATTGTCAGGGCCTCTGAATTCGTCACGGGAGAAGTTAGGAAGCAACAGGGTTTTGCAACCCTTAGGAAACATAGGGACCCCCCGTGCGCCCTGGATGACTATGCAGTCCGCAATGAGTTGTCCTTACTTTCAAAACGAGTGTTCATAGCAGGAACCAACAAGTCTGCGAACACCCCTTCGTTCGTCTGTATACACCTGATTCGAAAGCTTGCACTTGATAGGCTTTCTAGTATCGATTTCGAAGCCATCAGTGCTCTCCCATGTGATATCCTGAAGGAGGCTGAATGCTCCTCGGCAACATTGCTACCAAACCTCTCAGCTGGCCCAGGGAGGATCCCATATATAATGGCATTGTACAAGCATCATAAGCTCGCATTCAGATGGCTTACAAATGCCTCGTTTACTTTCCTTACCCCGATTGCTTGTCTTTGTGATTCTGTTCTGAAGTGCCTTACCCCACTGGTCATGGCCCGTTGCAAAGAAATCACCGATGGACTCAAACGTTTCCATGGTGTAGAAACTTCAATTTGGTGGTCGGTTGATTCTGTTCAGGACTACTGTTATAATCTTCCAGATAAGATTTATTCGGTTTTTTTCTGCAGATATCACGAGATGTTTCGAAACTATCCCTATTGATGACTCTAATGACAGCCTCGGTGCGGCTATTTCCTTTTTCGTAAGAATTGCATTTAGGTTTGCTGATTCCAATCATCTGGGCAGCTGGGTCAAGTGCAAGAAAAAGAAGGATGACTCGTACGAATGCTCCATTGAGAAACGTAGGGCTAGCTCCTCAGATTCTGTTTTTTGGATTGATCAGAGTGTTGTCATCCGTATGTGTCAATGGTTAGCATGCAGGTGTTTTACAACGTTTGGAGGAAGGATCTGGCGTCACAAATTAGGAATTCCTATGGATTTGCCATGCTCACCTGTATGGTGTACGATTTATTTTTTTAAGTATGAGTACAACCTCATCATGCGCCTGGTTGATCGCGGTGCGTTCCACCTCCTCCCCTTGTTCAAGCATTCTTTCAGGTATATTGATGACTTACATAGCATCAATAACCCATCCATTCTGATGTTTCTTTAGGAAGGAGAGGGGGAGTTGTATCACCTGTACCCGAGGCACCTTATTGAGATCAAGAATCAAACCGAAATTTTCACTACTGAGCCTACCGGCGAGATTTATGGACTGAAGGCTCAATTCTTGAATGTAGACATCTCCGTTACATCTGAAACCACTGGGGAGTTTTTTACCACTAAATTCGACAAGAGGTTAGCTCTGAATTTTCCAGTAGTGAGATATATTAAGTATGAGTCCAACCGACCAGTCCAACAATCCCTGAACATTTTTCTGCCACAGATTGCACCGGTATTGGTTCTGTGCTCTCGCCCTGAGGACGCAGTGAGTGAAATCTTGAGGGTAGTTTCGTATATGACGACTAACGGCTTTGGTATCCGAAGATGCATAGGGTGTGTGAACAGAGTCCTTAACAACCCACAAATGTTCTCCCCTGCCAGARTGGACATTGCGGAAACCATCCGGCTCTTTGAGGTATGTGAACGTCTGACCTATGCCTTTCGATTGATATGTGTGTATTTGGGGTGTTTGTTGTGTTTACAGTGTTGCCCCTACCAGTAGGGCTGCTGTGGTAGCTAACGAGTATCCTGCCTGAGGCAGGTACCCCTTACCTGCCTCAGCATGCTACCCGGTAACGGGAACGGGGTGGGACACACACACGCACACATACACACACACACATACTCTTCTACGTATATATATATATATATATATATATATATATATATACATATCTTGTATATGGTTTAAGCCTTTCCCTGAGTACCACTGAGAAAAAGGCTGCACCCAATGAAGTAACGAGAGTGTACCCCCCACGAGGGGAGTGATAACATACGGAAGCATACCCGGCCCACGAATTTTTCCTCGGCCCCATCAGAGCCCGTCCTCTGGGTAGCGTTTTTTTTACACCCACCCACACGCGGGATACGGATCGGTCTGCGAAATCCGCAATAGCGCCTGTTTCCCGTCTTGACTGATGTATAATAACCTGATGAAGTCAGGAATTCGTCCTCTCCGTTTTTCCGGAGCGACGACCTATGACCTTCGCCGGACGCATCTTCCGTCATGGTGCTCGTACTGGTGTGAGGGTGTAGTTCTGTCGCTTCGCCTCCCATAGCTCAGAATACTTGGCCGTGGTAGTCGTCATCTTCAAGGCGTCATGGTTGCTGGTGTCTTTTGGGTATTGTTTTCGTGAGCGGTACTGTCCATTGCAGGCGCACCTGTCAAAGCATGGGGAGCGCATCGGTAATGCTCCGCCTCCTTCCCACCACCCACCCCCCACACCCTTCCCCCCTCGCCCCCGTGCATTCGTCTCGTTCTTCCCGAGGTTGGATCCTCGTAATTCCCTTTTTGGAACGTAATGGAGGATGTTTTTGCTATCTGATGAGCCGACAAGGTGGAAGCTGGCGAAAAGTACTTTAGGGCCTTTCCACCACCCTCCTTCCATACGTCAGCATCATAGGGGCTGCTTGGCCGAATTGGGATACTTGCTCTCTGTTTTCTGTTTTCTTATGTTTTTTAACAAACATGTATTGGCCTTGTAATTGGCTTTGTTCTGGCTGTGATATGTATCACTGTTCGTTGTGTTGGTATGACGTGTATGTGTGGGTTTGGGTTGGTTGCTGGATCCGGGGATATATGGTTGTTGTCGAAGGAACGAGTCGATATGCTTTTGCAGGGTTGAATTTTGAAGCACTTCCCTATGGACGAGCTTGGGGTAGCCTACTGTATTGTCGTCACTTTGATCGCCCTCTTCGCCTTTTTGTCGTTCCTAGCGTTTCTGGACAGCCGAGAAGCTTTGGCCTGTATCTATAGGGGCTTGCTCGTGAATACGTCTTCCCCGTGTGTTCCCCCTCCCGTCTGCAAGGCCTGATGTCAGAGCTACCCCGAGAGGTGTTGCTGATAGAGGAGGACGATTACTCTGCTGTTTCTTCTACCCTCCATGAGAATTGAGTTCTGAGTGGGTGAGAGGGGTGTTTCTCTGGAAAACGGCTTTTGAAGCTCCTATAATCAATGATGCTTATGTTGCGAGGTAGATGTTTCCCCATGAGCTGGATGGTGAGGAGTGATCGGCGTGGGATGCGGCGGTGAGAAATGGACGTTGCAAGGATTTGGGAGGAGCGTTGTGTGGTTCATTATGGCGGCGGTGCGAGGTAGTTCAGAGTTGTAGTGGGAAATACGAGGGGAGGACGGTGGCGTCCAGGGATCATCGATCAATCGTTTTTGGCTTTGGACTGTAATGGGCGCAACTTTTTTGTGCTGTCTTGGGCCGAGCATGTCTTCCCTGTTCTTTGCATGGAAGATCGTGAACTATGCCCCCCGCTTGATCGCGGATGCGTCTTGTCCTATCTCCCTTAAGGATGTCGTGAGGTGCTGGGCGGCCGCCTTATTTGCTTCTATTGCTATCATGACGATCGAACTCTTAGGGGGATGTTTTGTCGTGGGGTTGCTCGCTCATACCGGGACCTTTTCCCCTTGCCCACGTACCATCTTGTGGAAATTTGGGGGTTGGAGTTCTAAGTT